CTGTTGGATATTCGAATTTCCTCTTTTGAAAAATACCGGTTCCAGTCCTTTTCCCACTTCCTGATTGGATTATTTATTTTGCTGTTGTTGAATTTCTTAAGCTCTTTATGGAGCCTGGATATTAACCCTCTATTAGTTGCGTAGTTTGCAAATATTATCTGGCATTCTGTTTGTTGCCTCTTCACTTTGCTGAGTGTTTCTTTTAGAGTGCAGAACCAAAATCAATCTTTCTTTTAATTTAGTTTTGGGCCATTCTTTTCCTATTTGCATTTTAGTACAGAAGGTTGAGTTATTTATATTCCTATTTCTGGTCTGCTCTCATTCTTTTTTTTTTCTTTGATATTGACTGGCCTTCCTTTCCTTGTACTCCCTGATAAGTTTTCTCATGAAATATGTGTTGTTTTGCAGGCATATATTTTAATGTAAAAAATTGTGCCATAGATCTCAGGTTTATACATTTTTTTAAAATAAAGATTTGTGCTTTTAAATTACTTCCACATTTTAATTATTTCATTGCTTCTAACATCCACTCAAATTCCATGATGGGCACTGGTGACATTTCACTTATCCATTCAGATAGTGAGAGACATCTTTATTGATTCTAGGTTCTTGTATCCACAATAACTATGTGAGAAATAATCTTACTTGTTTCCATTAAAAGTATCCATGAAAATGTATTAAGTTGTCCATCAACAGTCAGGGCTATGCTGATCAAGTCACCATTTCCCATAGTGTCCATTTCACTTCAACAGGTTTCCTTTTTGGTGTTCAGTCAGTTGTCACCGATCAGGGAGAACATATGGTATTTGTCCCTTGGGACTGGCTTATTTTACTCAGCATGATGTGTTCCAGATTCCTCCATTTTGTTGCAAATGACTGGATTTCGTTGTTTCTTACTGCGGTATAGTATTCTAAAGAGTACATATCCCATAATTTCTTTATCCAGTCTACCGTTGATGGGCATTTAGGTTGGTTCCAGGTCTTAGCTATTGTGAATTGAGCTGCAATAAACATTAGGGTGCAGACCGCTTTTTTGTTTGCCAATTTAAATTCCTTTGGGTAAATTCCAAGGAGTGGGATGTCTGGGTTGAACGGTAGGGTTATCTTCAGGTTTCTGAGGAATCTTCAGACTGACTTCCATAGTGGCTTGACCAGTTTGCCTTCCCACCAACAGTGGGTTAGTGTCCCTTTTTCCCCACATCCTCTCCAGCATCTGTTGTTGGTAGATTCCTGAATGTGAGCCATTCTAACCGGGGTGAGGTGAAACCTCATTGTGGTTTTGATTTGCATTTCCCTGATTGCTAATGACCTTGAACAATTTTTCATGTGCCTGTTGGCCATTTGCATTTCCTCATTATCCCTCTTAGTAGTTTTTTTGTCTGTTCTACTTAATATGACTGGTTTAATTCTGTAATTAATACACAGTTACTCTTAAGTGTTGAAATTTAACTGAAATTTGATCCCTGTTAAACATAAGAGTGGGAATGAGAGAGGGAAGAGATGTATAATTTGGGACATGCTCAAGCTGACTTGCCCCAAATGGTAGAGTTAGAAACATACCAGGGGATTCGAATTCAATCCCATCAAAGTGGCATGTACCAATGCCATCTCACCAGTCCAAGTGATCAATTTCAGTTCACAATTGATCATAATGAAAGGACTAAGAGTCAAAGGGAGCACATAAACAAGTCTAGTACCTGCTAACACTAACCGATGGAATAAATAAAGGGGAGAGTGATCCAACATGGGAAGTGAGATACTCAGCAGACTCATAGAATGGCAGATGTCCTAAACAGCACTCTGGCCTCAGAATCAGCCCTTAAGGCATTCGGATCTGGCTGAAAAGCCCATGAGAGTATTTCAGGCATGGAAAGCCAAGACACTCTGGCAAAAGATCTCTGCGAGTGAGATCCCAGTGGAAAGAACAGGTCTTCAAAGAAGGAGGTACCTTTCTCTGAAGGGAGGAGAGAACCTCCACTTTGACTATGACCTTGTCTAAACAAGATAAGAGTCGGAGAACTCAGAGGGCTTCCATAGCCTTGGAAACTCATGTCTGGAGCATAGGGAGATTACTGATGCCATAGACAGGAGTGTCAATTGGTAAAGTCAACAACAGGAGTCACTGTGCACTTACTCATCATGTGGGATCTCTGTCCTTAATGTGCTGTGCATTGAGATTTAATGCTATAACGAGTACTCAAACAATATATTTCACTTTGTGTTTCTATGGGGGTGCAAACTGTTGAAATCTTTACTTAATGCATACTAAACTGATCTTCTGTAAAAAAAAAAAAAAAAAAAGAAATTATCAATTCCCAACTTGACTCTCACTGGGATTAAACATGACAATAGGGCTGATCTGATTTCATCATCATTTAAAAAATCATCTATTATTTTTCATTTTATGTTTCTGTGCGGGAGCAAACTGTTGAAATCCTTACTTAATGTATACTAAGCTGATCTTCTGTATATTAAGATATATATATAAATAATATATAAATGAATCTTGATGTGAATGGAAGGGGAGAGGGAGTGGGAAAGGGGAGGGTTGTGGGTGGGAGGGACGGTATGGGGGGGAAGCCATTGTAATCCATGGGTCGTACTTTGGAAATTTATATTCATTAAATAAAAGTTTAAAAAAAGTATCCATGAATATTATATAGGAATGCATTTTATGTTATAGATTACATTATTTTCATAATTATTTTACAATTTACAATTAAATAATTTTACAATTATTTCATAATTGTAAATAATTTGAATCCAAAATATACATATCATCTTTCTCTCACACTAGAAGTACCTAGAAATTCCAATACCACCACATCCTCATCAACACTTGAAATCATTAAGGTAACAAAGTGCACACTCACTATGGCTTAATTTTCAATCCTTTAATTATTAAAACATGACTGCAGTATGTTAGTGAGCTTTTTGTGTTTTTCTCTTTTATCAGTTGCATATTTATGGATTTTATCCATTTTTCTACTACAGTTCTTGTCTTTGACATGCAAAAGTTTATTAGTTTTTATCCACAAGTGGTATGTCCCAGATTGTTAGTGGATACCTGAAATTGTAGATAGTTCTGAATACTATATATACCATATAGGATATATGCTGTCTATACATTAACTATGATAAAGGCTAATTTAAATATTAGGCATAGAAAGAAAGTAACTACAAATAATAGTATATAGAACAATTACTTAATATGCTATAATAAAAGCTACATGAATGTTGTCTTCTAATTTTGCTACTTGTGGTGCAACACCAAAAATAGCATATATTTCTTTTTCTTTCTTCATAATTTCATCTAGAAGATTCATTCATACTGCAGATTATAGCAACTTAACATATCATGTTTTCCTTTCTTTATTAAGTCAAGTACTTTCAGCATTTTGCATAAAGGAAGGTTATAATAGGTTTCATTTGCATCTCTGATTTGCTGACATCACTACTGTTGTTCTTTAGAGGCATTATTAAGTAAAATACTGTTTATTGAACATGAGAGCTGCCAAACTATGAAAGCTGGTGAAGCAGATAAGCGAGAGGGCTACAAAGTGACCAATGGGTGCGTTGTGAATACAATATGAATATGCTGGACCTATGGATGATTCATAACCTGGGCAGGAGAGAGCAGGTTGAAAACTGATGAGGCAAGACAGAATGGAGTGATGCGAGATTCCATCACTCTTCTCAGCACCATATGCAATTTAAACACAATCATGATCTTTTTTTCTGGAATTTTCCACTTAATACTTTTGGATCACAGTTGGCTGGAACCAGGAAGTTGAAATTCTGGGTAAGGGAGCAACTATTGTATTCATACTACATAAAAACGCTTAATTTTGTGATAATCAAATTTTCAATTTTTTTTTTTCCTGCTATGATGTTTTTGTTCTTAGAAGTGTTTGGTCACTGGGGCCAGCACTGTTGCTAAGTAGGTTAATCCTCTGCCTGTGGTGCAGGCATCCCATATAGGCACTGGTTCCAGTCCTGGCTGCTCCTCTTCGTATCCAGCTCTCTGCTATGGCCTGGAAAAGCAGAAGACGGCCCAAGTCCTTGGGCCCTTGCACCCATGTGGGAGAACCGAAAGAAGCTTTTGGCTCCTGGCTTCAGATCACAGCAGTTCCGGCCACTGAGGCCATTTGGGGAGTGCACCAGTGAACAGAAAACCTTTCTCTCTGTCTCTCCTTCTGACTGTCTGTAACTCTAACTTTCAAATAAATAAATAAAATATTAAAAAATAAGTGCTTGGTCACTTCAAATTTACAAATATCACTACATTTCCTCAAATAAATTTTAAGTTTTTATTATTCATATTGAATTATTTCTAAGTTTGATTTTCAATCACCTGTATTGATATAATCTCATGAATTTAATCATCCTACATTTCCTTTAAAACAGGGAAAAGGGAATATAAGGAGAATGATTTTAAAAAAGCAAAAAAATATAGAAATTTATTGTCCTTTCATAGAGAAGAATACAAGAAGGACATGTCCTAAAGGATTAACTCACCAAAAAGAGTAATCCTGGTATTTTGGACTGAATTATATGTTGCCAAAATTCATGCACCGAAGCCTTAAATCTCACTACCTCAGAATGTGACTGTGTTTGCTGATAGGGTCTTTTAAAGAGGCAATAAAGAGGTGAATCTCAGCTACATTTTGCTTCCCAGTTAGCTTTCTGCTAATGTGCCTTAAAGGTAGTGGATAATGAACCCAGTACTTGACTGTGTGCCACTGATGTGTGAGACACAGATGGAATTCCTAGTTCCAGCTGTAGCCTAGCTTACCCTGGCTGTTGTGAACGAGAACATGGACTACATCTCCCTCTTTGTCTCTCCTTCTCTCTGTCACTCTACTTTTCAAATTAATACATTTAAAAAAAAAACACAATTAACTTATAATTAGACTCTTAAGGTAGATGCTAATTCACTTTGACAGGTGTCATATAAAAAGAGGCACTTGCACACATGAATGACATCAGGTATGCTTAGGCACAGAGGAAAGACCACTTGAGGACACAAAAAATAGGCAGCCAACCCTAAACCAAGGAGAGCAGCCCTAGGCACACCAAACCTGCTAATAGCTTTATCTTGCACTTTTGCCTCCAGAACCTTGAAAAATGACTTTTCTGTTTAAGTCAACCACCAAGTTGGTGGTATTTTGTAATGACAGCCAAAACAATCTAACACAACTGAGTAAATGTACTTTATATTGAGACTTCAGGGCCGGTGCCGCGGCTCAATAGGCTAATCCTGTGCCTGTGGCCCAGGCACACCGTGTTCTAGTCCCCGGTCAGTAGGGGCGCTGGATTCTGTTCCGGTCGCTCTTCTTCCTGTGGCCCGGGAGTGCAGTGGAGGATGGCCCGCATGGGAGACCAGGAGAAGCACCTGGCTCCTTGCTTCGGATCAGCGTGGTGCGCCGGCCACAGTGCACTGGCCGCAGCGGCCACTGGGAGGGTGAACCAATGGTAAAGGAAGACCTTTCTCTCTGTCTCTCTCTCTCACTGTCCACTCTGCCTGTCAAAAAAAGAGAGAGACTTCAGGAGGCATCCCTGCCACTAAATACTGTTGAGATTATAAAACAATCGTTGTAGATAAGCAATGAAAGTTATGCCTCCTGAAAATATTTTAGCTACTAAATAATAAATGTTAAATTATACATCAATTGATGTTTAACAGATGGGAGTTTAGATTGTTAGCTCATTTATAGTACTAAATTCCATGTTATATTAACTCTTTTGCATAGATTACTTGACTGTGCCATTGTAAAAATAAATTTGTAAATATTTTGTTTATATACATAATGGAATAGAAAACAATCCATACATAAATAAAAGTAGCTATTAGCTTAATTTCTTACATAACAATTTTTAACAAATGCCTGTTCACTTTGATTATATAAACTGTTTTGCTTACTCTTTAACCAAACATCAAATGTATAGTAACTCATATCACCTAATTCCCTTGATATTCTATTTTCCATCTAAATGAATGATTCTTTACTGTATAACAGTGACTACTGTCTTTATGTAAATAAAAGTGAAGTATATCCATTTTTGTTTATCAATGTTTTAAATGCAGAGGCTTAAGTTAATAAAATGATTTTTCCCTTTAAATAGACCTTTTCTAACCTTTAGAAACTGTGCTAGCCTGAGATATGCTTCATAATGTATTCAATTCTGTGATGATAACCAGAGCAACGGTGTATGTGACTGTCAATAACTACACATGGGGAGAGAAAGCATTATGAGATAACTCAAGATAAAATTTATTGGTGAGAACTGGAGCCACTATCATCAGTCAACTGTCTCCTTTCATTTCACCTGGGTATATTGCTTTTAATGTTTTTTAAACTTACCAAAAAGCACATTGCAGAAGTTGGAGGAACAGTAAGGACTCACTCGCTGATTTATGGAATGCACAGTCCTCTTGGCTTTAAGTGGACTGAAGTTTACCTGAGTAATTCTTACATACCTGGATGATGACACCTTCTTAGAGTGATGAGAGAATACCAACTCCGTCCAGCGTTAAACCAGCCAGGCATAGAGGACAGCCACCTTCTCTCATCCTCATTCCCGTTGATAAGATTATATATCACTGGGAGAACAGCATGTCTAATTCAAGATATGAAATGACTCTTTGTTCTCTCACATGTTATATGAAAAAATCATTTTGAAGTTTTCCACATCTCTATGGCTAATCATGACAAGTCGATTCTCATCAGGTGGTGACATTTTTCTCAGCTCTATCACAGTAAGTGCACTGTAAACCAGTCTGAAATTCATTCAGATAATTTTGCTTTCAGAATCTTATAATCTTATCTTTGTTTTTTACCAAAAGAATCACCAACTGTGAACAAAATATTATGAAATTGTACATAAAGGTGATCTCTCTCTTGTTCTCTTTTCTCCCTCTCTTTTCCTCTTATCACTCTGTATCTTGATCTCCCTTAACCCCTTCCCTCTCTCCCTTTCATTGCTATTTCACTTTTGTTGCCATAATGCAGGGAGCCTAGTCCTTTGGTTGTGTTGACCTGGATTCAGATTATGACTTTGACTTTAATATCTGAGCAATTGTTAGCAAGAGATTTAATTTCTCTGAATTCCCATATCTTCATCTGTAAAATGAAGATAATAACATTTATCTCATAGTATTATTATAAAACTAATTAAAATATCTATTAAAGTAATCAGAGACAGCATAGTGGCTGGAAGATATTTTCCTCTTAATAAATGTTAATATGTTCAAGCTCTATGTGTAGTTGGATTTTGAAAAAAGGTATTTTGGACTTCTGGTTTTCTGCCTAGCAGGTATGAGGTTTCGAAGTTGCCACTCCATTCTAACAGTAAAAACATGAATGAACAAAAGGAAGCATCAGAGATTTTTCTCATAGCCTTCAGAGAATGAGGGTCACAGAGAAAATCACTGCTCTCTAGACGGGAGACACCAAGAGGCAAGTGCAAAGAATCACCATTTGCTAGAGCAGTAAATTGTGGGCTGAAAACTCCACAGGAATCAGCGACAGGTGTAGAGAAACCAGAACTGTAAGTAACAAATTGCTGGAGTTCACTGTGGACCAATTCGAAAGGTAAATGCTCTAAGAGAACCCAGTGTTCAAGAATCCTTGCATTTCTGTGAGTTGTTTCTCCAGAAGCTTGCACAGCTTCTCCCAGTGAATAGCCAAGAAAAATCCCCTCCAGCTTCTGGCAGGTGGAGGTGGGGAAGAAGCTGTATCAACATATACCTGAGCATTCTGTACTTCATAGCAAGGTCCACCTTCATGAGAAACCAGTTCACCAAAGCGTAGAAATCTGGATTTTTATCATAGCCTCCCTGCCTGAGCAAAGGAAAACACCCAACTCCAGCCCATTGTAGCTATGCTGTCTGACTTGAGGGGGCTGTGTTGATAAGCAGGTGTGAAGTTCACTGTCCAGAGGCAATGGGTCATGGGAAGGGGTAAGACCTAAACATAGGACTAGAGAATACTTCCCCTTGTGACACACCTCACCAACTAGTTACTAAAGGCTGATTTACTGCAGTTCCACTTCCCTAGTATATTATGTTTAGCTACAAGAAAAAGTACAATACATGCTAACAGCAAAAAGCACAGTTTGATGCAAGAGTGCAGACATCGAGGCAGAGCCAAGATGGTGGAATAGTGAGGGCACGCACTGATAGTCCAGGAAAAGATAGTTTAACAAAAGTGGAGTTACTGTAGTCTCAGGAAAAGGCTCAGGTTAAATTGCAGAGGAAACTCTTCTGGATCTAGTGGATGTGACACGGAGGACTGACGGGGAGAGCAAGGTCGCCCACTGCATGGAAGCCCAGCCGCAGAGTCTGCGTGCCAGTGCTGGAAGGGGAGGTGAGACAAAAAACCTCGGTAACCCGAGACATTGGTGGGGAAAGGCAGAAAGAGCCTAGAGGGAATGAGGCTTGAAGCCCCGCTGGGGAAAGTTCACCAGGCTGACTGGAGGAGAGAAAAAAACGAATAAATAAGGGGAACTGGCACGGACACTAACCTCTCTCTCCACTCACCTTACAAAGCTGAGCAAGACAATGAGCAGGTGCCATTTTGGACATATGTAAAGCAACGCTTGCCATCAGCCAAGCAGAAAAACCTGACTCTGGTGGGGAGAAATAACAGGAGGTTAGGACCTAGTGAAAGTGTGGAGCTAACGAACTGAGACTGTGAAAATCTGAGGGGGGGTGAGAGAACTCACCAAGTACACAAACTCGGTAACCTTGGCAACCTGGTGAGAGACTGCAGAGAAATTTGAGACCACACTGAGGGCTGCATAAACCCTTTGTGTGGTCCTGGGGGTAGAGCAGATGAATACCCACAGGGGCCAGATTTCATACATCAACTACCCTCAATTCCACTCAGCTGTGCGAATTACTCAAAGAAAGAAAAAAAAAAAAAAAAAAAGAGAGAGAGAGCAAGCGAGAGAGAGAACAATCTGGGTGAGTCACCTTTTGCACACCCTTAACCCCGAAGAACCAAACAGAGCTCTCTGGCCTCTAAGGATCCATCAAAAGCAGACAGTCCACTTAATCTAGAGTCATAGTATAATGATAGTATAATGAGAAAAAGCACCACAATGAAGAAACCAAAGAATATCTCCACAATGCCAAACAACAAACATAAAAACTGAGAAGAACAAGGAAGACAAGAACAAGGAAGAACAAGAACAAGGAAGAATAAGAACAAGGAAGACACTATGATGCCTCAAAATGATAAAGACACCCCAATTCAAGATTATGAAGATGATGAGATAGAAGAAATGCAAGAAGTGGATCTCAAAAAATTTATAAGAACATTAAGAAGTTCTCAAAAACAAATTCTTGAACTACAGAAATCCTTAATGGACAGGATAGAAAATCTCTCCCACGAAAATGAAATATTAAGGAGGAATCAAAGTGAAATGAAACAAGTAGTAGAACATGAAACTGTGATAGTGATGAGAAATCATAATTAAATGAAGAATTCAATGGATCAAATGACAAACACATTAGAGAGCCTTAAAAACAGAATGGGTGAAGCAGAAGAGAGAATATTGGACTTAGAAGATAGAGAACAGGAAAGTATACAGTCAAACCAAAGAAAAGAAGAGGAAATTAGAAATCTAAAACATATTGTCAGGAATCTTCAGGATACTATTAAAAAACCCAACATTCGGGTTCTAGGAGTTCCTGAAGGCATGGAGAGGGAGAAAGGATTAGAAGGCCTTTTTAGTGAGATACTAGCAGAAAATTTCCCAGGTTTGGAGAAGGACAGAGACATCCTAGTACAGGAAACTCATAGAACCCCTAATAAACATGACCAAAAGAGATCCTCACCATGGCACGTTGTAATTAAACTCACCACAGTGAAACATAAAGAAAAGAACCTAAAATGTGCAAGAGAGAAACGTCAGATTACTCTCAGAGGATCTCCTATTAGGCTCACAGCTGCCTTCTCATCAGAAACCCTACAAGCTAGGAGGGAATGGCAAGATATAGCCCAGGTACTAAGAGAGAAAAACTGCCAGCCCAGAATATTATATCCTGCTAAGCTCTCATTTGTGAATGAAGGTGAAATAAAGACCTTTCATAGCAAACAGAAATTGAAAGAATTTGTTGCCACTCGTCCAGCCCTGCAAAAAAATGCTTAAAGATGTGCTACACACAGAAACACAGAGACACAGGCATCAATATGAAAGAAGGTAAAGGAAGAAAAACTACCAGTAAAAGATCACAGGAAGATCAAAGTATATACTAGAAAATATCTTTGGGAAAATGGCAAGGCAAAGTCACTACTTATCAATAGTCACATTGAACGTTAATGGACTAACTCTACAGTTCAAAGGCATGGAATGGCTGAATGGATTAAGGAACAAAACCCATCTATTTGCTGCCTACAAGAAACACAACTTTCTTCAAAGATGCATGCAGACTGAAAGTGAAAGGTTGGAAAAAGATATTCCATGCCAACAGAAATGAAAAAAAGCAAGTATAGCCATATTAATATCAGACAACATAAACTTTAACACGAAAACTGTTAAGAGAGACAAAGATGGACACTATATATTGATTAAGGATTCAATTCAACAGGAAGATGTAACTATTATAAATGTATATGCACCTAATTACAGAGCACCAGTTTATTTAAAAGGTATGTTAAGGGACTTAAAGGGAGACTTAGACCCAAATACAATATTACTGGGGGACTTCAATACTCCCCTCTCAGAAATAGACAGATAAACCGGACAGAAGATCAACAAGGAATATACAGATTTAATCAAAACTATTGCCCAAATGGATCTAACAGATATCTACAGAAATTACAATCCTACATTTAAAGATTTTACATTCTTCTCAACAGTACATGGAACCTTCTCTAGGACTGACCACAAACTAGTCCATAAAGCAAGTCTCAGCGAATTCAAAAAATTCAAAATCATACCATGCAGCTTCTCAGACCACAGTGGAATGAAGGTGGAAATTAGCAACTCAGGAATCCCTGGAGCATATGCAAACACATGGAGACTGAACAACATGCTTCTGAATGAACACAGGGTCACAGAAGAAATCAAAAGAGAAATCAAAAACTTTCTGGAAGTAAATGAGGAAGGATAACAACACAACATATCAAAACTTATGGGATACGGCAAAAGCAGTGTTGAGAGGAAAGTTTATAGCAATAGGTGCCTACATCAAGAAATTGGAAAGTCATCATATAAATGAGCTTTCAATGCATCTCAAAGATCTAGAAAAACTGCAGCAAACCAGACCCAAATCTAGTAGGAGAAGAGAAATAATTAAAATCAGAGAAGAAATCAACCGGATTGAATCCAAAAAAACATTACAAAAAATCAGCCAAACTAGGAGCTGTTTTTTTGAAAAAATAAACAAAATTGACACCCCATTGGCCCAACTAACTAAAAAAAGAAGAGAAAAGACCCAAATAAATAAAATCAGAGATGAAAAAAAACATAACAACAGACACCACAGAAATAAAAGAATCATCAGAAATTACTGCAAGGACTTGTATGCCAGCAAACAGGGAAACCTATCAGAAATGGATAGATTCCTGGACACATGCAACCTACCTAAGTTGAACCAAGAAGACATAGAA